AAGTAATGAAATAATAATAGCTTTGAAGAAACGCGTACAGAAAACAATAATTTGGAATTGGAACAGAAAGGAAATAATTTAAATTTTGAAATAAATGATGCCGAGACATCGGAGAGCTTAGACTGTGAAGAAATGTATAAATAGGAACAAGAAGTGGTAGAAAATTAAAACCCTCAAAATATTTGAATATAGTCTGGTCATCACTGAGAATCACACCACTCGGAGAAAGTTTGTACCTTGCAAACTTAATAAATTTGTGTTGAACACTCTCAAGCCTATTTATGTGGATCAAACTATGCATGGAAATCAATAACAAATCTGACTAGTGATGTGTAAAAGAATTTTGATGGGGTGTATACTTGTAATGTCCCTAGTAGCTCTCAAAAACTAACATTCTATTAGCCCTGCCAATTACCATTTCAAAATGCTCGGTGAACATTAACCTAGTATCTAGATAGTCACCAAGATCTTTAATGACATAAACTTCAAGCAAGCAAATCTTATATTACTGGAAGGCAACCTTACAAGTGAGTTTACTGAATCTTATACAACAACACTTATCAAGTTGAGGGACATGTCGGAACTAATCGTAAACTATAGTAATATTGAAAAAATAGTCCATTTTCTTACAGTGGAGCTTTGTAAATTACAAAAAGAAAACTTCAGTCTTCTCCTTCTCCACTAAATTTTATTGTTTCTTTGTTGGAACACTACTAGGACATGTTTCGGGATTATAAGAATTCCATCAGCTGAAACAATTACAAAGGAGAACCTAGAGTTTGACGTTTGAGACTTAATATACAAAAAAATATCACTTAACATTGTATAAATAGATATAAACTTGAAAGCTTACCCAGAAATAATTCCGAAACATACTTGTAGTATATTGGATAACTGCTATTAGCATTTCATAGTTTTTATATTGTCATGTCAGGTTTTTGTCATTATTTTTATCAAGGTATATTTTCATTATATTCTATTTCTTTTGTTATCTTCACTAGTTACTAGCCATGGTTACTGGTTGTTAGAAAATAAACTTGGATAATTTTCCTATGATTATTCCAGAAATCCTCTTTGTTTGAATTCCCAGTTATCACAATACTGTATACCGTTCAAGGGTTACAACTACCCATTTATGTAGGGAGAAAAAGCAGGAGAAGAAATTATTTATTTATTTTTATTTTAATTGTTCAGTGGCCCTTTAAGGGCTTTTACGTCTTTTCTTCCTCCACGCCTTAAAAAACCACATTCCTTATATCTTTTTAGGATGGACGAAAATTAAAGGGTCTGAATATCCAACCTACGAAATTATTATCAGCTGAGCTTTTAGCATAAAACAAAAATCAGGAACCCAGGGAAGTAGCGACAATATGCATCTGATATTAACAAATTATTATAAACTTATTATTTGTAATATAATTATGAGATCCAATTATTACTATTAGGAAGTAGGAATAGGCTAGGCAAAAATCTGGATAGTGAACAACAAAGTAGAAAACTGTGAATGAAGTATAGTAATATTCTTTCGTTCTGGACAAAATGAACAAGTGAAACTGAATCAACTGAATCTGAATAGAGCAATCACTTCAGTTCCACTTTAGTTATGTCTAAAAGAAGACGTTTCTTTACATTCTGTGTAAATGAACGAAGTGATCGACCATCCGAGGTTGTGCTTGAGGGAAAAGGGGTTAGCAAACATCCGTCCACTTTATTCAGTTTAGAAGGTGGAGTGGTGGAACTGACCAGAGATGAAAGAAGAAGTCACAAGTGAACGCAATCAGATAAAGTGAAAGCAATCAGTTTGTTCAGAACGAAAGAATACACCTTATGTTAAGATCGTTTCGCAGAATAAGTATGTCTTGAGCTGACGATACATCTTCAAGTCATCAGCCAAGAGTGGGAGTCCAAGTGAGAGTCTTGGGGTACCCCAGAGAATACATGGAAAAGAGAAGAAATAAAGCCATCGATCTTGATTTGTCGTATTCTGTTTTCTAAGATTTCATCCAAGAGATTAAAGGTCCAAAACCGCCATAACTTAAGAGCTTTGAAAGAAGGATATTGTGGTTTATCTTATCAAAGGCTTCACTGAAGTCAGTATATATTGCATGAGTTTCTGCATTGTTGTTAAATGATGAATTTATAAAATTTATAAAGAGTAACAGATTCGTGTCAACAGATCTATCGGCTGTAAAACCGTGCTGTTGACTGATCGCAATTTAATGAAATATTTTTGAAATAATTTTTTTAACTCACTGCTCAAATAATTTAGGAATTGCAAACAGGATGTTGGTAGGTCTGTACTTTGTTACACATTCTTGCTGCCTAATTAGAGAGTAGGACAAACATATGAGAATTTCGACATTTCTGGAAAAATTCCAGAAGTTAGGGATTTGTTAAAAATGTCAAATAGAGGTAGAGATATGGAGTGTTGAACAAGATTTTAGTACTCTGTTAGGAATATCATCAGACCCTGCAGACTTTTTCATGTCTAGTCTTTTCAATATTGGTTGGGTCTATGACAATGCTTTTTGAAAAAACGCTCGGACACGTCATTTTTGTATTGAAGCGGGAAACTTATTGACCACATCGGTATTTCGTTAGAGTGCACCCTCTAGATGGGGTGACTTTCACCCCTGTTTTTTAGATAGGGGAAGATGGGTCGAGTGGTACCTTGTTTTAAAGGTATTTTGATTCTCGTCACAACTGCGTATTTTTTTTGAAAATCGGATGATTAGTTCGTCAGATAGTCACTGTCAAAGTCGCATTTCTGCGATTGACAAGAAATGTCAGCATTTTTGACCAGTTGACAAGTCGCAAAGTTCAATATTCTGGTATTTCAATTGTTTCAATAGTTGCCAAGGAATCAATGAATAACAATATGGGCAACACTTTTCCGGCTTAGGTCAAAAAAGTGATTCTCGTATTGCTGAATAATTGGAACTAAAAGACAAACATTTAACAGATATTTAACCGATCGCAGAAAAAATAGTATGTGTATTTCGGTGGAAAAGCACATTTTCAGCCTTCGGTGTTGTCAACTTACACTGTCGGCCGAGAATATGTCACTTTTCCACCTAAATACACAATATACTAATCTAATCCTGTTATTCTCAAATTAACACATTCCTGGCATTTTTTTCAGACACGTCAGTTTTAATTGTTCCAAAAGCACACAAAAAATAATGAGATTTTGTAAATGTTTGATGGATTCGTGGGGATAAAAACAGTACAGAAAACCAAGAATTTTTCATTTAGAAAAGCCATTGGAAGCTTACTTTTCCTTTTTTTTTGTCTATTTATTTGATATTTTGGATTGCTTAACTTTTATTGAAATTTCGTTTTATTTCACTACATTAAAAACCATCTCTTTATCTGTGGAAGGATTAGACTAATAACTATTATTGTTCACTTAAACGTTTTTATCTGTTCTTTGTTCTGCACTGTTTGGTAGCTTCTTATATAATTTGTAACTTAATAAATGGTATTTTTCTTCTAATAACATTTTGCTTATGTAAAACCTGTTTTTCTCTTAATTTTGAAATTATATCATCCGTTCTCGTAAATTTTACAAATGCAGATTTCCGTCTAGACTACAAGTATATTGAGAGTTTTTGGGACCAGGATAATAAAGGATAATTATTTAATCTGCATAAAAGTGTTTCGAATTAGTTATACAGTGTGTTCCGCTTAAGGACTGACCACCCTTCTAAAATTTTGATTTTTAACTGATTCAATTTATTATTTTTTTGTCATATCTACTCGAATTTGGCACTTACTAGGCTCATAATTTTATTTCTGCGGCTGCACTGGTCTATAGGGTGTCCACATTTATAGGCTCAAATTTCAAAAAGTACCTACTACATATTAGGGATTTTTTTAGAAAAAATCTGATAGCAGATTTTGGTTTAGAATGGTCCAAAACCCAAATGTACTGATTTTTGTTTCAATATGATACAGGGTGATCACAACAAATTTTCAAAATTTAATGGACCAAACCGGAAAAATATCATATTTTGAGGCCTTGAGAACAACAAAACTTGATACAACATAGTTTAAGAACATCCTCAACCAAAAATTGTAGTAAGCTTGTCTCAAAATATAACATTTTTGCGGTTTGATCCATTGAATTGTGAAAATTTGTTGTCATCACCCTGTATCATATTGAAACAAAAATTAGTATATTTGGTTTTTAAACCATTCTAAACAAGAATCTAATATCAGATTTTTTCTAAAAAAATCCCTAATAGTACTTATTGAAATTTGAGGCTATAAATGTGGACACCCTGTACACCAGGACAGGGTATTTGATTATATTTGGACCCATACCTACAGCCTTTACTATTTAAGATAGAAAAAAAATTTAAATATAAAACTTAACATTTTTTTTCTATATTTTCTTTTAACGTTATCAGAAAAAACAAAATCGCATCGGAAAATGGAGAAATGTAAGTAACTTTGAGTTTTTTTAAGGAACACCCTGTATATTATGCGATGAAATTGAAGATATTTTCTTCCTGATTCCAAATATACATATATTGATCACATTTGGATGAGCCGTTTTTGATATATCATAAGCTTAAATTATAAATAAAATCCAAAGAAATTTTAAAAAGATATAAATGTCTTGTCATCCTTATGGAATTTCTTTGCAAATTATTTATAATTTAAACCAAAATATGTCAAAAACGGCTCACTCAAATGTGATCAATATATACAGTGTGATTTTTTAAGTGTGCAACATATGGGGATTTTTTTTAGTACTAGCACAATCTAAATACAAACAAGGCCAAAAGTTGGTGCATGTCTAATAATCATATTAGTGTTGTAAGACTTCGACTTTAAACGAAATCTGGATTATAATTTGTGCACTCTAGTTTTATTTTACCCCAGTTGCAAGTTTTAGGATTCTGGAAAATGTTCGTTCGTTTTAAAGTTTTTCAATTTTTTAATCCTATATAGTCTACTCTTTCCTTCTGTAATAACAGTTGTTATTCTTGTAGGAAAAAGCCTGCAAATGGCAAGAAAACGGACGAGAAATCGACGGCCAGACAACGAACGGAGTCCTCATCATGCACCCTAAAGGTAATTTTTGCGGCGGAGACGCCAAATGCGGCGTATGGTACGAAACTTCCGTTGGAGGCGGCATATTTACCCGAAGAGAATCCAGATCGGCTCAGCAACGAGGACAAGTGGTAAATTATTTGCTAAGAACTGAGTTCATTTTTTATCTACTAGTTGAAGTTTGATATTAATTATTAATTGTTAGCTGTAGGAAGATTAATGAGTATTTTGTGGATTTTTGATTTAATACCAAACTTTAACTTTCATCCTTCACTTAGGTACATTTAAATTTCCCTAATTGACATTTTGAAATAGGTTGAAGATGAAACAAATATGCTAGAAGATGGCACTCTTATCGACTTATGTGGAGCAACGTTACTTTGGAGATCGGCAGAAGGATTGGAAAAAACACCGGTAAATAGATCTAGTGACAACAAACAACAATAATTATTAAAAATCATGAAAAGAATGTTTCATCTGATGAGTTTTTTTTTTTTTATTTATAGGGTAAACACGATTTGGAAAAAGTCATAGATGAAATCAACGCCGGCAGACCTCAATGCCCAGTAGGGCTCAACACTTTAGTAATACCTAGAAGAGTATCGACAAACGAGAACCAACAGCAGCCCTACGTCTACTTGAATTGCGGACACGTCCAGGGATTGCACGATTGGGGCCAAGACCGAGATACAGGGGATAGGAAATGTCCGATTTGCTTAGAGGTAATTTTTTGAAAATAGATTTGGACGCCCTGAATATACTACAGTTATTTCCGATATCACATTATTGAGGTACCAACATGGCCTAACCAAATTAAATATTCACTATTTGTTTATATGTAGAAAGTATTGTAGCCAGCCAATAATTTGTAATTCACAGTTCAGACAGCTTCTAATAAATCACATTTCTCATTGTATTACCTTGCCCAATTATGACAAACTTTCTAGATAAAGTGTTTCTAGGTTGCTTTCAACTTCATTGATTATAAAATTTAACTTGCCTAAACAATAATAATTGTTTCTAATAAATAAATTGATTTATTTTCTTGTTATTTAGTTGGGTCCAGCAGTAAAAGTCTGTATGGGCTTAGAACCGGCATTTTACGTCGACACAGGACTACCGACGTTTGCTTTCAACCCTTGCGGACACATGGCTACAGAGAAAACTGTCAAGTAAGTAACAATTTTGACTCGTGCATTTGAATACAATACTAAAAATAATATATTTATAGATATTGGGCTAAAGTTGTCGTTCCTCATGGCACCAACGGACTACAGGCAGTTTGCCCATTCTGTGCTTCACCTCTTTATGGATCGCCAGGTTATATAAAGCTAATTTTCCAAGATAATGTTGATTAATTTGGCTTATTATTATTATTTTAATCTACAATATTTTGCATTGGGTTGGTAGTAATTTAGACTGATTTTTTTAATTTCCCATTATAGAATATTGCAGATTCTAATACCAATAGAGATTTTTATAAAACATGGTGCATTTTTGTCTGAATCTTGGTTTGTTTGACTTAAGACCAACTCACAAGTTGCTGAAAATAAGTTCCAGGTATTCCAATTTTGCTCAAATGACAATGCTAGAAAGACATTATTTGAGTGAATAGTCACTTGTTGTACAAAGATTGGTTTAGTGTTTTTGTCTAATATACAACAAAATTTATTATATTATCTTATATAACTTTTTTTTTTAAACCATATTATAGTAAAGATTATTTAACATAAGATTACCGAAGATTGTGGATATATTATATTTGTAGAAAGGTTTTTTTTCTGTAGTATTTAGTGTACCAAAGCTTTATTTATACTGCTATTTAATAGAGTTTCAAGAAGAATAATAATATTGATGGCTAAATCAGCATTTAAGACAAAAAGAAGTAACATCGATTATTCTTGAGACACATTGTACATATTCAAATTACATTCATATTACTAAGGTCTAAAACAATGGATTCTAAATAATGTTTCTAAATAAGTTGTACAAAATTCATTATGTATTTTTTCAATGAAGGCAAAAGTAAAAGGGAATTCCGTCATGTTTTAATAAGAAATTGTCAAGATTAAACCATCACATTAAAATAAGGGAATTTTTGTTTTTATCCTATTGAGAGTAATTTTACGAAATCGGAAAAATTATCGTGTAATGTTTATATTTGTATCGAAGATATAGAGGGACTTTTAAAAGTTAAGATAGATTGTTTAAGAGAAGGACTAAGTGTTGCAAATCCATATCTATATAAGATTAAGCTAGAGATTAAGTTACTTAATACAAAAAAAACATGAATCTGAGGATTAAATGGCAAAGGTAATAATTATTTAAACATTTTTGTCTATTTTCTCTAGAAACTCAAAAATTCCTTTTCCATTTAAAATTCATTTGTGTATGTATTTTGCTAAGTCTAGAGAGGATTTGTAAATTAGTGTTTTGATAATAAGAACGTATTTTTTCTATATTGTAAAGGTAATTAGGTATTGATTAAAGTGGTTCTTATATATATATTTTTTTTTTGAATTTGGAATGTAAGTAATTTCTTAGAGGGCAAAAGAATGAATTTTTCAAGACTGGTATTGTTAGTAATTAATTTAAGTACATATTGTATTGTATTGCTTATGGATTTATTATTTTGAAATTTTTTTATATTAAAAAGTAGTTTTTCAAATTGAGTGTCACTAGAAAGTTTTTTAATTGATATGGCATATGGTTTATTGTGTTTTATGGTCGTTATTTTAGATGCATTCTACCTTCTGTTTTTATTAAACAAAGTGATTCTGGGTTAATTTTTTTTTTACAGAAAATATGAAAATATCTTGACTACAAATTAATTTTTAGAATTTCTTTATGGAGATAAAATGTGTGTTAACGATTCTCAAATCATTGTCAAACCCTACAATAAAGGGTTTTTATTTGCCACCCTATTTTTGAAATTCACTTTGTATTGAATATTATTATTTTTTTTTTTTTGTAAATATGCAGTATAAGATTTATGATGGTAGAAATGTAGTTTTATTAAAATTTAAGGTATTTTTAATGGTTATATTCACAACAAAAAAAAAAAAAAGAATTTATCTGTGCCTGGATATTCACTAATAAAATTGTAAGAATTATTGATGTTTTTTTTTTTTCAACTGTCCTTTCTACAACATTTAACTCAAGCTCGTATTATATTTATTTATTTTTCCATATATTTTTTCGTGTAGTTCAGGGTGCCAAAATTATTTTGTTTTTCATAATACTGATTTATGTTGTGTTTGAAGTTTTTCGGTTTTAACCCTGAACTACATGGTGCTGTACAGTTGCTCTGTGTTAAAGGTGTTTTCAACGTGGAAGTTTGTGATAGAAAATTGTGAAAGTTTCACCAAAGGTGCAATTGGTTGCTATCTTCAATTAATTGGAAGAATAACTTAAAAATACCAATTAGTTTCTCAGAAACATTGATTTAAGCTGTGAACAATAGAAGACAATACCAAACAAAAAACATTTCTCTTTGTTATCACCAATACCATAAATCGACCCAAAGGTAAATAAAAAAAAAAAGATTTATACTCGGATTTATATTTATATTTATACTTATCTTTTGCAAATCACTGCTCGATTGTTCAGATAAAAACATTTGGGTTGCTGATAATATTCAATACATATTTACATTGCCAATTTGCCATGGTCGCGTCAAATAAATGCTTTAAATGCTTCAATGAGTGTGTGTTTAAAGAGGATAAAGAAAAAAAGGATCTGTTTGGATTTCCATGCGACATGTGCTGCCGCACTATTTGTGCAGACTGTAATAAAATGATGGCACAAGAAATCAGGGTGATTCCTAGTACCTCTCGTTCATTGATTCATCTATGTCCTGACTGTATCATTGAATTTAAACAACTCCCAAGCATGCTGAAGAAAATACCAGCATTAGAACAGGCAGTAGTTGACCTTGAAAGTAAAGTAAAAAACCTAGAGCAGCAAAACCAACAACCTGATCTCGATAAGGAAATCAATGAGATAAAGGAAAAAATGTCCAATTATGAGAAGAATCAACAAAAATCTGAACAATCATGTAACCAAAACCTAAACTTGAACAACCAATCTCAGATTATTGATAACGAATCCGTATGTAAAACAATCAAAAATGAATTAAAAAGCCAATCAGAGCTTCTAGCAAGTCAACTGCAAACTGTGGTGAGCAATATCAGAGATGCTAACAAGGATTTAGTACGTTTTCTGACTGAAAAGTCTCCTGATGAAAATTGCAAAAGGAACACATTGGTGAATAATCAAATTAACCTCGATACTGTTAGAAATGCAACTGCAAATGCTACTGAAAAAATCATGGCTCATAACTCAAATCAAAAATCCTCGAAAAACCTGGCTAAACAGAAATTGGATAGTTGTGGAGAATGTGCTAGCAGCTCAAAACAGGGAATCAAGGGAGCAAAGAAAAATAGCAGTGGCTTGACTGCAGCTACCAAACAGTCATGCTTCTATGTGGGAAATTTGGGAGCAAGAACCTCTATGGAGCAATTGAAAGAACATCTTACGAGTCACAATATTCCTGTGTTAACAGTTGATAAATTGCCCACTAAAAATCAACATGTTGCTTCTTTTAAAATTTCAGTTGATCCTAAATATGAGCCTGACCTGTTGGATGCTGAAATATGGCCGGAGGACACTACAGTGAAACCCTTTATTTTTAATAATAGAAACAAGCAGAACAGATGGCAACAAGGAAGACGATTTTTTCAATACCTCAAAACAAGTCATAGATGGGCATGGAATCAGTTGCTACTACCAGAATGTCAGAGGACTAAGAACTAAACTCAGTGCATTAATGTATTCGGTGATTGTGGAGGAGTATGACATCATTTTACTTACAGAAACTTTTCTGGATGAAAAAATAGATAGTTTGGAATTGGGTATGGCTAATTATCAAATATTTAGGTGTGATCGATCACATAATACTAGCTCACATTCGAGAGGAGGTGGTGTTTTAATTGCCGTAAAAGAAAACTTATCCGCTTTACAGTTAGATTCACCTGTAAAAAGTATTGAACATGTATTTGTTTCTATAATTTTAAAAGGATCCAAAAAATTAATAATTGGTTGTGCTTATATACCCCCAGCATCTTCTCTCGAAGTATATGAAGCTCTTTCTGAATCTGCATCCTTTGTTTTGCAAGATTACATAAGTGATGATTGTGATATTATAATTTGTGGCGATTTTAATTTACCAGATACTTTCTGGTCGAATGATGATTATGGTGCAACTCCTCATGGGATTGTAACACAGCAGGTGGTGTGTTTGTCTCACATTATGGCATTTTTTAATTTAAAACAAATAAATGCTATTGCCAATGCAAGGGGTCGACTTCTGGATCTAATTTTTAGTAGTGAGGTAACCAATGTTTCGGCTGTTGACCAACCGTTGCTTGGTTGTGATTCGCATCATCCAGCATTGCAGTTCCTTGTTAGGTTGAATCCTCCAAGTGAAGTCATGCAATATGATTTTGAATATTTTAATTTCAGGCTAGCAAATTTCACTGATATAAATATGTACTTATCACATGTAGACTGGAATTTTATATATAATAATGATGATATTAATGTAGTAGTCGAATTGTTCTATAATGTACTAAATGTGGCAATTGAATTGTTTGTTCCAAGACGTAGGGCTAAAAACCTAAAATTTCCCACTTGGTTTAGTGATGATTTAAAGAAACATGTTTTGATGAAGAAGGTTGCGCATAAATCTTACAAACAGTCCAACTCATTAGTCGACTATCAGAATTTCTCAAACCTTAGGCAAAAATGCAAAGAACTAGTAAAAGATAGCCATATTAATTATATAAATGAACTCGAGAATAATATTCAATCCAAAAGGGACTTTTGGAGATATGTAAATTCCAAAAAGGATAGTACTGAACTGCCTAAATATATGTTTTATGGTGAGGAGAAATCGGACTGCCCTCAAAAAATTGCTAATTTATTTGCGCAACATTTCTCGTTGGCATATGTAAATCATAGAGAGAAATACATTGATTTCCAGTATTCTAACACTGTAGATTTGTTTTTTTGTAATATAAGTTTGATGGATGTATTTAATTGTATAGGCAATTCCACTCATGTATAAATAATCCCATTTGAAATGTCAAAAATCGTAGTTTGCTAGCGGATAAATAGGAAGGAAGAGAAAATATAACTGGATAAAAAAATCGGATAAATTTTCTGTTGATGCAATCGTTACCATAGTAATAATTGCATGTTAATTGGTTTTTTAATCATCTGTCAAATAATTGTGTCACCAAAATTCACAAATTCGATCATTTTAGCTTATTAAAAGTGTAGGTATTTTTAAATAAAATTAAAAATATTTTAAACATGCCGCGATTTAGAACAATCAAAGATGAAATTAATAGCGAAATGGAAAATTCAATTCCTGAGAACACAAAGAGAGACTTCTCTTTCTGTAGAGTCAAATTCAAAGGGGCAAAATGTTTATTCGAATTGTACTTTCAATAACTGTTCATTTTAAAAAGTATTTCCATATTTTATTTTGATTATGCATTCGTGGAATTGCCGTACTAAATACCATTCGAGCTCAGATTTTGAGCAGGATATTTTTTTGCTTGCTCTCTCATACTTACTTTCATGCAATTTATCTCGATCTGTTCCACAAAATCACTCGAGCTGCGCTCTCGTGATTTTGTCGGAACAGCTCTCGTTAAATTTCCTGAAAGTAAGTATTCGAGACCAAGCCAAAAAATATCCGGCTAAATCTGAGCTCTTATGGTATTACCTACGACAATTTGGATGATGGTTTGGGATGCGGGCCAGATAGCATTCCAGTTTACTTTCTAAAAAATTCTAAATGTGTTTTGTCTGAAGTTCTTGTCAGAATATTTAATAAGTCATTGTCAAAGGGTATTTTTCCTGAAAAATGGAAGGAAAGTTTTCTTACGCCTATTTTTAAAGCTGGCAATAAAGCAGACATATCAAACTATCGCCCAATAAGTAAATTGTCGGTTATTCCAAAGGTTTTTGAGTGTATTGTGACTGAAAAAATCTCCCCATGCTTTAGAAATGTTCTCTCGACTGCTCAACATGGATTCATTAAAGGAAAATCAACTATTTCTAACCTCTTATTATATCAAGATAATCTTGTTAATGCTGTAGAATTGGGAACTCAAGTAGATTCCATCAGCACTGACTTCAGTAAGGCTTTTGATAAGGTTAATATATCTATACTTACAAAAAAATTAGAGGCCTTGGGCATTCGGGGGACTTTTTTGGCATGGATAAATAGCTTTCTGGGCGGTAGAGTACAATACGTCAGAATTAAAAATTTTATTTCATTTCCAATAAATGTCGTATCTGGTGTTCCTCAAGGAGGACATCTTTCTCCCTTGCTATTTAATTGCTATATTAATGATGTTGAAGATTTTATCCATCACAGTGACATATTGTTGTATGCAGACGATTTGAAGTTGTATAGGCCTGTTAAGTGCATATCAGACTGTAAGCAGTTACAACTAGACCTGAATTGTTTTGCTCTGTGGTGTCACCTGAATGACCTAATCCTTAATTTAAATAAATGTAAAACCATAACCTTTTCTAAATCTCATGCATCAATTTTTTATGAATACAAATTAAATGATCAAGTAGTTGAAAGAGTGGACTCTATTAAGGATTTGGGAGTTACATTTAGACAGGACCTAACATTTAACTTACATATTGAGAATATTTGTAATAGGGCAATGAAACTTTTGGGATTTGTATTTCGCACCCTCAAAGATTTTAATAATATTTTTACTATAAGGAGCGTTTACTGTTCTGTAGTGAGATCCCTTTTGGAATATGCTACCCCAATTTGGTCACCACATTATGGGGTCCATATAAATTGTGTTGAGAGAGTTCAGAAACGGTTTCTAAGGTATATTGCCTATAAGATGCATATACCATCAGAAGAGGTCTGCTACAATGACCTGTTGCGGTTGCTGGGTCTTTCTAGTTTAGAGGCACGTAGAAGGAATTATGATATTTGTTTACTTTTCAAGTTGCTTAATAACTTAATTGACTGTCCCCCTTTGTTGAACAGCATTTCCCTGCGTGCCCCTGTGAGACAGACTAGGCAAGTGCATCTTTTTCATAGCGAGTATCATAGGACTAATTATGGTTTTTTCTGCCCTATGGCTAGAATATGCAGAGAAGCTAATCAGCTACCCAACAATTTTGATTTTTTTGGCATGTCTCTGAAAACTTGTAAACATTTGTTAAATAGTCTGCAGCGCTAAATGTCAGTGTATTTATATGTACCGTAAATGTTAAATTTTAAGTTCTTGTGTTTTTCGTTAATATTATAACGTCATATATTTTTATATTATGTTATTTACTGTAAATGGCTTGTCCGTTAATAAAGTTTATTATTGTTTATTATAAGAAATTCACAAGAAAATACACAGATGTAATACAGGCTGTAGTAAAGAGTACGGTGACGACACGGAAAGCTGCGCGAAGCGGGTCGGATCTCTCTTCCTCGTCTATCTCTCGCTGTCTGCCGTGAGCTGAAACCAGCAGCGGGGTATCTTTTTAGACAAAACTTGAATAGAAAATAAACTAAATAAATATGTCTACTGGCCCAAACAATACGATAGTTCAGTTAGTCTTCAAAATTGGGTTTGTGCGCATTTGACGTCATTGTACTCTTTACTCTTGACGCGGACTCTAACTGTGGCTTGGGAATTGAAAAAAATCATTTTATGTATTATAAATAAAAATATTATTTATTCACAATTTGATTGCGCACTTCCTTTTATAATATTTGTTGGTTTGGTCACTATAATTTCTTCATATGGTTCTTTTTCCTTTAGGGTTTGTAATTTATTAGCTCTTTTCTAAAATAAATTATCATTTTATTCTCCTCAGTGCATTGTTAGATTTTGTTTTACAAAAAAATCAATAGAAACTGGAAAAAATAATGTGTCAATAAATTATTGCTTACCTTAAGTTTTTGACTTCTCTCGTGCAAATATTTCATATCCTTTTTGATAACCTGTAATTTCGAATGGTAATTTTTCATTTTTATGAACATTTCTTGTAATTCTTGTGAATGTTGCACCTCTGTTATACTCAAATTTTCAATATGTAGTTTACTGACGAGTTCGCTTTGCTTAGATCTATAAAAATTAAGTGCAATAAAGTTTGAAAGTCTTTTTTAAATTTACAAACTCCAATTCGGTAAGTTGCTTCTTGGCATTTTTAAGTGGTGGTTCCAGGATGTTTATTAGTTCCGAGCTGATATCTTGGGAAGGTTTTGCATAAATATTTTCATTTTCACCAGTTTTTTCCCTAAAATATAATTGGAATTATATAATCATGACATGTACAGGGTGGCCCAAATTCAAGCCTCATCATTGAGATCTCGGTAACCGTAAGAGATACAAGGTCGGTTAAATTATGGCAAAGTTGCGCAATTTTATGACCAATAGAGTGCCGTTTTGAAACTAGAAAGATTCCGAATACTTCCGGAGATATTCGGAAAAAAAAACGAAATTTTGTAAAATCATTTTTATTTTTTCCTGGGCTTATTTGAAGAGCAATTTTAAAATAAATGTCACTTCATCATTGTCACTTTTTCCCCTTTACAAGATGGTGGTACTAAATTTCAAATTCGACGTTTTGTCTTCAGGCGGCCAACCTCAACTTACTTTTTTTAAATACGGACCTGGATTTTTTATTTGCGATTTTGTAATCTTTGGCCATCCTAAAACCGATACTGTTAATAATTTTTCATTAACACAGTAAAAAAAGCAGGTCCGTATTTAAAAAAAAAAAAAATTATGATTCCAGAGGAACGAAACGGATTTCAAATTTGGTACCGCGATCTTATAGAGAAGAAGAAGTGACAATATGGGAATGTAACATTAGTTTTTCACAATTTTTTTAAATAAAATCAGGAAAAAATTAAAACTATACGAAAAAAATATGAATTTCTCGTTTTTCTTAAATTTTTTCTTGATTCCGCGATTGCATTGATGTATCTGCGTCAAAAAATGTTATAATTTGCCATATTCCCGGCACGTGAAAGTGGCCCATTGATCACTAGGTGAATGAACCGGACCTAAATGTAAACAAATTAAAATTAAATAAATCAAGGGGTAAACCACCCCCTCCTCCTCCCCGAATTTGTGCAAACAATTCCTCAAACTTCCGCAAATTCCTCCCAATTCCCTGCAAATGCCTGTTACAAATTTTCTAGAAATCCCCAAAATTGTCCGCGAAAAGATATGTATTTTTCTATTTTTATTACGCTCAAAAACCAATAAATTTTCCTAATTTCCATACATTCCTCCAATTTCCCATACATTTCTTCAAATTCCCCACAAATTCCTATAAATTCCCCACAGTTTTAGCAGAGACTTCCTAGGTGGTTTGCTCCTTGAAGGTGAACGATCAAAAAGAAGTTTTTATTTTTACCTAAAATTCAAAGCTCATATCTCAAAAACTGTTCCAAATATTGGATTTAAACCTGTCTTATCTTGTGGAGCATTCAATTCTGATGCAGAATCATCAGCTACAAATTTAAACTTGTTGAGTATTAACTTCTACAAATCAAATTTCAACTCTAGGAGAGCCTGGAATAGGATTTTCACACTTTGAAGGCTCATATCTCAAGAACTGTTCTAAATATTGAAATCAAACCTGTTTTATCTTGTAGAGAATGTAAAGCATTCAATTCTGATTCAGAATCATCAACTACAAATTTTAACTTGTTGTCTATTAACCGAGGTATTAACTTCTATAAATTAAATTTTAACTCAAGGAGAACCAGGAATGGGATTTTCACACTTTGAAGGCTCATATTTCAAGAACTGTTCCAAATATGGAAATCGAACCCGTTTTATCTTATAGAGAATTCAAATCTGATTCAGAATCATCAACTACAAACTTAAACTTGTCGAGTATTAACTTCTCCAAATCAAATTTCAACTATAGAAGAGCCTGGAATGGGTTTTTCCCAATTTGGAGGCTCAAATCCGAGGGGTGTGACACTTCCAAGTATTTTGTACACCTGATTTTTGATTTTCATTACCTTAATGGAAATCAATGAAATCAAAAATTCGATTTGGAAAAATCTCATGATTTCACTTGATTTCAACGATTTCCTGTGATAATTATTTGTTTTTACTTGATTTTGCTGATTTCACTTGATTTTGTTGATTTCATTAATTTCCCAGATTTACATTGATTTCCCAAGAGTAAATGTGATTTTACTAGATTCACACAGATTTCATGATTTCAGTACAATTTACTATATGTCGAGATCGAAATTATTGGTAATGCTTGGTAAGCAACGCTATATCAAGTAAGTGGCATCATAATAAAGTCGAGAAGTTTTACTGTGCCAATACTACCACTTCACAGATATTACACCATGCTGTGCTGTGAGTAATTTCGATCTTGGGTAGTATAGGCGTCAGGCGAGGGGTGAATAACTGCCGACTGCCAAATTCCACAATCTTTAAGGGGGAAACAGCACCCCATGTACATACACTGTGTCCCAAATTGCTTGTAATCACAGGGTTCCTCGGTAACCAGCAGAGATAGAACTTTACGGTTTTCGCCAACCTGTATCAATTTTTCGGGAAACTTTAAATGCCGCAACAGAATTGTGCCACCTTGTTTCGTTCCCGAGATACATCAGGCTGAAATAGAAATTTTGCGCTTTTTTGGGGTGGTATCATATTTCGGACACCCTGAAAGATAGAAAAAAAGGTGAAAACTACTATAGATAGATATTTTTATGTAGTATCCAGTGTTGTAGTCAACGGTTAATATTGCGTCACTAAGTTCATTAGGATTAAGTTTTTCAAGTTCAAAGTAAAAAATTGTTATTTAAAAAAATAATAATTTTATTCAATTTTGCTTGTGGACACTTTAATAGGTACCTATAATTCTATGGCCAACTTACGTTTTTCTTTTATTACCTATTGCGTTTTTACGGGTTAGTTTGAGTCATAGTGCAAAGTGTGATGCATGATGCATCAAAGAGAAAAAAATCAGATTTTTTTGGGACCAAAAATACAGGGTGTCTCATTTATAAAATACTAAGTTTGGGGTATATCTCGAAAGGATTTGTCTAAAAAATTTTTTGACTACAGCAGTTTTCACCTTTTTTCTATCTTACAGGGTGTTCTATTTCACTCTGTACCTCTGGAACAAAACAAGGTGGCATAATTCTGTTTGTGACATTCTAAGTTTCACGAAAAAGTGGGTCGCGAAAAACACAAAGTTACTGGTTACCAAGAAACCCTGTAATTACAAGTAATTTGGGACACAGTGTTTGTATATGCGCATATAGGCCCATTTTATTAATTGGGCCAAAATTAAACAATAAAACAAAAAAGGCGCGAATTTTGAACATTTTATTGGTGGAGGCACTGCCTTAGAAAACAACGATTTAAGGATTTCAACAAATTGTATGTGATTTGTGATAATTTTAAGTTATTTACAAGGATTTTCTTGATTTTGATTGATTTTTCGGATAGACTTGATTTGCATTGATTTCGAATGATTTTAGGAGATTTTTCCAGATTTCAATGATTTTAAGGGATTTAATGTGATTTTGCTTGATTTTACAGATTTCAGTGATTTCTATTGATTTATTTGAGTTTAAGCAAAGTGTACACCTGATTTTAGGAGTGTCACACCCCTCGCTCAAATCTCAAGAACTGTTCTAAATATTGAAATCAAACCTGTTTTATCCTGTAGAGCATTCAATTTTGATTCAGAATCATCAACTACAAATTTAAACTTGTTGAGTATCAACTCCTCCAAATCAAATTTCAACTCTAGGAGAGCCTAGAATTATATTCTCACTCTTTGGAAGCTATTATTTTAAAAACTGTTCCAAATATTGGATTCAAATCTGTTTATTCTTGTGAAGAATGTAAAGCATTCAATTCTGATTCAAAATCATCAACTACAAATTCAAACTTGTCGAATATTAACTTTTCCAAATCAAATTTCAACTCTAGGAGAGCCTGGAATGGGATTTTCACACTTTGGAAGCTCATATCTCAAGAACTGTTCTAATTATGAAAATCAAACCTGTTTTATCTTGTAGAGCATTCAATTCTGATTCAGAATCATCAACTACAAATTTAAACTTGTTGAGTATCAACTCCTCCAAATCAAATTTCAACTCTAGGAGAGCCTAGAATTATATTCTCACTCTTTGGAAGCTATTATTTTAAAAACTGTTCCAAATATTGGATTCAAATCTGTTTATTCTTGTGAAGAATGTAAAGCATTCAATTCTGATTCAAAATCATCAACTACAAATTCAAACTTGTCGAATATTAACTTTTCCAAATCAAATTTCAACTCTAGGAGAGCCTGGAATGGGATTTTCACACTTTGGAAGCTCATATCTCAAGAACTGTTCTAATTATGAAAATCAAACCTGTTTTATCTTGTAGAGCATTCAATTCTGATTCAGAATCATCAACTACGAATTTTAACTTGTTGTGTATTAACTTCTATAAATCAAATTTCAACTCTAGGAGAGCCTGGAATAGGATTTTCACACTTTGGAGGCTCATAATATCTCAAGAATTGTTTCAAATATTGAATTCAAACCTGTTTTATCTTGTAGAGCATTCAAATATTCCTCCAAAATTCCCAAAAATTCCTTCAAACTGCTTCAATTTTCTGCAAATGCCTGTTACAAATTTCCTGGAAATTCCCAAAAATGTTTGTGATAAGAAATGTATTTTTCCGAGTATTTTTCTATAATTTTCAATTTATCATACATTCCCCTAATTTCCCATAAATTCATTTAAATTCCCCACAGGGCCGTCTCTAGCCATCTCGGGGCCCTAGGCACTTTTAAATTTGGGGGCCCCTGTCCCCATTTTTGAAAATGTCAAAAAAAGCAACAATAATTATTCGGAACAGAATTTATTTATACAGGGTGTCCATTTAGTGAGATATCGGACGATATCTCTTTAGAGGGTGATGCAAGAAAAAAAAAATACATATAAAGTTGTTTGATACTCTAATATGCATTAGTTAAAAATATTCCGGAGATTAAATTTAATTGAAATATTTAATCATGGATTAAGTTCAAAGTTGGTGTTAAATGATAGTTTATGAAAATCTAAGATAGGAATATAAAATCAGTTTTCGTCTAAAATTTACCGTTTAGGTTTTACAGCCAGTCAAAGTTGCAAAAAGTCAATTTGTAACTGTCAATATTTCCAAAATAGTTGAACCTAGGTATAGGGTATATTACATATACGGTGTTGAAATTTAAACAACCCCCTTTCATATCATCTGAAGGGCTAACGCTAAGCTGTTCAAATTTTCAGGGATTATTGATTTAGGAATGATATTTAAGAATTCGTATAATGCACCTTCGTATAATGCACATTTTCTACCTGAAACCACCCAAAAAAATAATTGAAAAAAATTGCTTTTTTTCTGTGACAGGATAAAAGTAGACTTTTTGTACCTGTTGACAGGGGCAAGAATGTAACTTTTTCTCCCACGGGAAAAAAGTGATTATTTTTTTCCCGCGGGAAAAAAGTAACAGGTACCAGTCAAAATTTTTTCTCAAAGGGAGAAAAGTATAAGTACGGTCACAGAAAAAAAAAAATTATAAATGGAAAATGTTGAGATTTTCCCGTCACAGAAAAAAATAGTGTATTATAGACAGGAAAAAAATAAGATTTTAGCGCTTGCTTTAGCACCTCTCGCTAGAATCTAGTACTTTTTTCCCTTGTATCATAAATAACCATTTTTTTCAAATTTTATTTTTTATTTCCTTTGGGGTGGTTCCGTAGAAAATGGGGGTTGCATTATACGAATTTTTATATATCATTTCTACATCAATAATCCCTAAAAATTTGAACATCCTAGCATTAGCCCTTCAGATGATATGAAAGCGAGGGTTGTTCAAATTTCAACACCCTGTATTTTGGAAACGGCGCACTTCCGACCCTCGGTATCCTATCTCAAACTACTTCTGACTTTATATACCCTAGCATTTTTGACCAGTTGAACGGCCGAGGATACCCTGTAGATATATTATTTTTAATTTTTATATAAATTAGCGTCAAATGTGTAAAATGTATTTTAAAAATGATATTGACATCTAGAAGCGGGCCCCTTGAGGTACCAGGCCTGTGTTCCGTGGAACACGCGGAACACCGGTGACTACGACCCTGACTCGACTCCTTGTTCCATTTGAAATGGTCCCATCCTGCCTAGGGGGTTAAAGTTGAAGTGCTAGAAATGGTTGCAGAAAACTTCTCCCTTTGAAAATCAAATTATGTCTACGAGCGATTTTTTAAAAAATAAATGTGGCATCAGATATTTAGCCTGTTTCGTTTTAAATGCTACGCCCTATATCAAAAATAACAAAATTAAACACATATTTTTGGGTACATATACAAACAAATAGTAACCTTTGCCTAACTAAATTATAATATTTAAAAGGTATATCGTGCTACAAGAAACAAGTCACAAGTCATATCTTAAAAAGACGTTTATAAAATAAAACAATTCGAAATATTTTATGGCGTTTTTCATTTGTTGTCTGAGTGCAGCACTCGCCACTCAGTACAGCAATTAGGTTCCGCAAATAAATGCTAGATGGTCGGACAGCACCTAGTTTATATTGAAATAATTGTTATTTGAATATTATTTCATTTAATATTATTGATATTATCATTTATTATTTAAATACTTTTTTAAAAAATTAACGACGGGGCCCCCTATGACAGGGGGCCCTAGGCCAGGGCCCAGCTGGCCCATGCCTAAAGATGGCACTGATTCCCCACAAATTCCCAGGAGTATTTATAGGAATGTGTGTGCTGAACTATTTCAGTCCAGGATCGGATTTTCAAAACTTTCGTGGTAAAACAATATTTTCTGTCCAAGGATTCAGATACTATCTGAGTCTAGGATTGGATTTCCAATATGAAATTTTCAGGGTAGTTAGAGGGAAAATACTTTTATATTTATACAGCAAAAGTTTCGTTTGTCCCTCAACTTTGAGGGGTGGGTTTAGTAGTACTATTGACTCTCTAACTACCATGGAAATAGTCATAAGAAATAAGTATAAATTTAGCTCCAAAATGTAAAGGAGCCCGTAATCTAGGTATAAGGTTTTGTTTTTACCGAGGTTTTTACAGTAATTGATACTTACAATCCTTCAACTGAAGTCATAATAATAATTAACAATTCTATAATAACACTTCCAAAAAACACTATTTATTAATACCAAAAAGTAATTAATAATTTATTTAAAAATAAACAAATACAAAAATAAATAAAATAAAGTTAGGTTAGAAGTTCTATGATAAATGCCACATACAGAAATTAAATGTGGCGTCATCTATGATTTGCGATAAGAATTTATTTATTTATTTACAGAAATCGTCATTGTTTTTTAAATTATCAATTATTCAATGACTGGTTTTATTAAAATAATCTGTTATTTTCTTCTTTATGTCTGTCCCTTTATCTTTTACATCAACTTCCATTAGTTCCTCTCTATCTTCTTTAATCACCACAATTTCTTCTAAAGCTTCATTATTTGTCTTGGTGCAAAATTTATCAAAAGTGGACGATTCTACATTTTTCTTGGTGGAAAATTTATCAAAAGTTGATAAAACTCCTATTTCAGGACTTTCTGAATTACTGGTCGATAGAGATTTATTAGCGTTCCCATCTAACATATCGAATATTTCCATAATATCAGTTTTTGGGAGTTTGTTCAAAATATCCTTATGGGATTTAGTTGATTTTTTCGTTTTCAAGAGTTTTTTGGCTTTTGGAGAACTTGGTTGACTGGACGGGATAATTTCTTCAGAACTTGGAGTCTCATCTGTTACTTCAAATAAATTAGACAATGTAGAAGTCGTAGGCGATTCAATGTCCATGTTGATCTCTTTAGGGCTTTTTTCCACAATAATTGGTTTGGGGTCCTTTTTAAATGTTGATGGCTGTGGATTTGTTGCGGCTTTGCCAAAAAAGTGACTGATTGTTGGTTGCTTTTTACTATCGAAATAGGCTTGCTCAATAAATGAGAATAATTTATCATCAGACAAGCCTCTTATGGAAAATTGACAGAGAAATCGCCAAAGTTGTGCTGGAAATGAATATTTAGTAATCAATGGTCTTATTTATTAGATACCTATACTCACCTATCGTTATCTGATTTTTCCCCAAAAATAAATGGAAATCAGAAAAATTCTCCATCAATTCGATATCACCGAAAGAATAATAAACTAAATTTCTATTGGCTGCACTGCACGCCATCAATTGTATGAGAATTTTCAATGGTTTGCTGCCTTTGAAAGCGCCACAGCCCCAATTTCCTGTTGCCACTGGGGCTAAATTATGTTTTTCTCTGCTACTGAATCCCACATAGGCCTAAATAAATCAAAATTAAATCGGGAACGAGTAATTATTCGACCGGCAATTTAATTGAACATTAAGCAAAATTATTCTATTGGCATTAAAATGTGATCTGAAAAATAATCTGATTTAGATAGATGAATTTGCAGCAAAATAATCACGTAATTCAAATAAATAATTCAGTTTCGTTTTTTTTTTCTTTTGATCGCTTTGAGCTCTCAACCTTTTCCCTCATCCTTAATCTTTCTTAACAAAATAAATAAAAGGCTCAGAAACCACAAATTATGATAAGTTTGGAAATATAAGTAACTAAGCTTGTATGTTTGTGGAAGATGGCCTCGAACTCGGGAAATAATGTCGCCCTGGAAAAGTTTGGCATACATAAATTTGATGGTAAGAATTATAACCATTGGAAATTCCGAGTTGAAACTGTGTTTGATCACAATGGAATTAAAACTTGTGTGAAACAGGCCATAAATCAAAATTCACAAGACGAAGTAAAGCTAGACAAGAAATGTAGAAACATTATTGTACAGTGCGTCGCTAACTCGCACTTGGAGTACATAAAAGATAAACCAACATATTATCGTGATATGTGGTTGGCACTTGAGAAAGAGTTTCAACGGAAGATCATTTCAAATCAGCTCTATCTAAGAAAAAGAAAAGGTTAACTTTAACTATGAAGTTAGAGAAAGGTGAAACACTTGGAAACCATTTCATAAAATTTGAGGAAACTGTGAAGGAATTAGGGTCCGTAGGAGCAACACTAGAAGAAATCGATAATGTTTGCTATTTGCTGTTATCGTTACCCTCCAGTTATGATAATATTGTTACTGCCCTAGAAACTTTGGAACAAGTTAAACTGACATTAGGAACTTTGGATTGAGGTTGCCTTAGCGATTCATTGTTCTTAAACAATGAATCGCTTAGCGTTAGTAAGGTAGAAGTTGTTAATGTAAAATTACATGGCCAAAGAATATGTTCTGATGAGATTAGATATACATATGCTGTATGTGAAAAATTGGCGCCAGAATTTACTTCCAAAACTAGAGAATTCAGGTTAAAGCTGAATTTTTGAAAATAATACTGTTGGCATTTTTAGAAATACTGATTTGATAGCCAGAGGAATGGAAGAAAATAATTTGTATAATGTTGAATTTGATGTACCATGAAATTAATAGGGAAGTTAATTTATGTGAAAAAGAAAAAGAATTTCAAACTATGGCATGCTAGGTTAGGGCACATAAGAAATAAAAATTTTGGAAAACTTATTAAGAAAAACATGATAAAGAATTTAAATGTAAATATTGAAAACAGGAAAACGAAATTTGTACCCAATCCAAAATCACTCGTTTACCATTTGAAGAACCATCAAGAAAAATAATGAAGAGACCCCTGGAAATTATGGTAAGGCTTTTTTGTTATATTCAAGACTACCAAAAAATATGTGGGGAGAATCCTCTCCTACAGCTTCCTTAAAAAATGTCACAACTGCTGAGTTAATTTATAAAACAAAACCTGATTTGCAAATTTTTCGCAGTTTAGCATATGGTCATGTTTCAAAAGAAAAGTTAAAGTCACAATTTGATTCAAAAGGAGACATTAATATTATGGTAGGATACACAAGTAATGATTATCGAGTCTGGAATATTGTTAAGCAAAATGCGTGTTGCTCGAAATGTAGTCTTTGATGTGTATAAGAACATATAAGGGCAATCTAGAAGTTAGTAGTACCCTTGTTAATATTGAAGGTTCATATATTGATGTTAAGAATGATTTTCAGGGCGATCTAGATGAAAACAACAGGAACTGATCATAATGTAATAGAGCAAGGAAATAATAATATTCTTGAAAATAATGAGTTTGATGAACCAAATACGGAAAGTCCGGCTAGGAAAAGTAACAGAGTGAAAAAAATACCTCTTTTCTACTCGCTTGCGCAAAGTTATTAATTTGCACACTCATTTGCGTGCGCAAAGTCTAACTGTGCGCACTCATTTTTGTTTCGCATAATTATCATATTTATACAGTGATTTATACTCGATTTTCCAATGCTTTCTGGGTTTCTGGATAAACTAATATTCAAAAAAAAGGACTTGATGTTATTTTTGTTCGAAGAAAGGTATTCAGGTAATATTTAGCTTTTTTAAATTGACACTTTTCGTATGGGAAGCGAGGGGAGGAAAAATCCAGCAAAAAACAGGTGTGAGGTCAGGTGACCATTGGAGTGGGCAGCCACCAACTTACATATCGGGTCTTCAAAAAAAAAAACAATCAAAGATTGCTATGGTTTTTTGAACGTACGTCTTCGCAATATTTTTCTTTAATTTTGACAATGTCATTCAATGAAATTTAATGTCAAAATGTCATGTCAAAAATCCTGACCAATAAACAAACAATAATGCGACGTACGTTTTCGTAACCAAAGCAATCTTTGATTGGTTTTTTTTTTGAAGACCCGATACTTTGGAGTATCAGATCATAAAAGTTGGACAGTAAGTTATACTCCTCCATATACTTCTCAACTAATGGTGTTGCGGAAAGAATGAATCAGACATCAATGGACAAAGCAAGATCTATGATAATGCAAGCAAAAATGGATAGAATATTTTGGGAAGATGCTGTAGTTGCTGCTATGTGAAACTAAATTGAAAAGTCACACAAAAAAATATCCTGACAAGTTTAATCTCAAAATTTAGCAGAAAAAACAAAATTTAAGTAAACCTCGCTAGCAAAACCACTGTTGCAAATAAAGTTAAGCTGATCACCGAAAAAAAAAAATTGAAAACACAACACATTGAACTAAGAGAGAAAATCACTAGTTTTGAGCATCTGGACACAATTGAGAAGATTAGGTATTTACGGCTCCTCTGGATGCTATGCAAATATACAAACACTCATATAGACTTATTCTGACTTGGTATGTCCGACTACACAAGTAGTCCCGAATCCATCGAAGCAGCGGACCCCGTATACCACAATGCTCAAGCTTGTGAAGCAGTCTCTTTGGAGGAACAGTGTCAAACGCCTTTTCAAAGTCGAGGTACATAACGTCAATTGGATAATGCTCTGCAGATGACTTGGTCCAGTGTTCCAGGCTGGACAAGAGATTGGATGTAACTGATCATCCTGGCAGGAAACCATGCTGATTGGATAGTCGATCACCATGATGTATCATAAGGAATTTTGTCATTTCAGTAACTATAATCTTTTCCATACATTTGCAGGGTATTGATGTTAAACTGATAGGCCTATAGTTTTCAGCTAAGTGTTTATCGCCTTTTTTATAGATCGGAATGACAATTGCATTTTTCCACGCTTCTGGGACTATGCTATCTGTAAATGATTCTGTCATTGTTCTTGCAAGGTTCCACTCATAGCAGCACCTTTTTCACCTTCTGTGGGGTGAAAACAATATTTTCAAGTGTGGGTCCTGACCGTCCGGCTGCGGAACGTTGTGGTATAGTTGTTGTGTCTTCGTGTATAAATACTCTGTCAAATTGATTGCTGAATATTTCCCCCACTCTTTGTGGCTCAGACTCAAGATAGTTGTCTGAATCTCTTAAGACAAAGTTTTGAAGCCTAGATTGAAGCGAACAGTTGATATACTGGTAGAACCTTCTTGGACCCTGCTCTAGGAGACTGCTCTTAAAAGTCGACTGAGCATTTCTTAATGTTTGGGTGAGTCGGTTTTTTAGCACATTGTATGCCCGTAGGTCACAATTATCACCAGAACCTCTTTATAAATACCATGCTTTTTTTTTTCGGTTTATCATTTTAACATGAGCTCTAGTAATCCACGGTTTTTTGAAGGTCTCCACTTGACGCTGAAGAGGCACATAGACTTCTGATATGTGGTCCACTACTTCGACAAAGTTATCATAATAGATTGTGATGTTGTTTGGTTCCCATTGCTCAAGAAAATGATTTATGACGTCGTAGTCTCCCTTCCAATGGTTGTTGTGTCTTTTTACAGCTTTGACAACTGGAAGTAGGGTCATCTGGGCTGTGGCCGCAACAGTAACATGATCGGTCTTACATATTGGGGGTGCAGACGTAATGCTTGTCACCAACCTTTCATCTGATACCAAGAACAAGTCAAGTAATGAGGGGACAGTAGCGAAAGCGAGTATTAAAGTTGATTAAATGATGCAGTCTTGATTCTTGGTAGGCCAGTAAAAATTCTTCAGCAGGAAGACTATGTTTAGTCACTTCACCGGTAGACCAATCTATTTCAGGGTAATAAAAATCACCATAAATTATTGTGGTAAAACAATCTTTTAGCCTGTTTAGCATCAGACAAACATCCAGGAGGTCGGTAGATACACCTCACCAGCAGCCGGACAGCACCAAACTTCAGGTCGACAAAAACACTATCTACGACAGTTAGCCCAACATTAAATTCTTCTTGCCTTACTCAAGAGACTTGATGGCCCTTGATACAATGTTTGATATAGATACCCATCCTCCACTTTTCTTTATTTGCCCATGGTCATTTATGGTTCTGCAATCCTTTCTGAATAATGTGTAGCCATGTATACCAATCAAAAAGTCTGGTATGTGTGTGTTCAACCATGTTTCAGTAATAAAAATTAGGTCTGGCTTTTTGTCTAGAAGTTTAATGATAAATTCATCAAACTTGGACATGATAAAGCATAAATTGGCACACAACATTAATATGGAGGAGTAGGTTTGGGCATTTAGTTTTTTGAGTGGTCAATACTGAGGCCATGTATCCTAGATGGTGTAACCTTAATTATTTTTGGAAGACCACTAAAGTATTTAATTTTAGGGATATCTTCCCCTTGGTTAACTCTTTCTTGCATTTCTGTTAATAGTTTCTTGAGGTAACTTCGCTGCAGGCTTGTTTGGTCATACTTTATATACATACTGCTCTCTTTAGGTAGATTATTTTTGTTACGAAGCACTTTACGAGCTTCCTCCTTTGAGGGAAAAATCACCTTGATTGGCCTTCTTTTCTCTGGATTGTAAATTCCTACCCTAACAACTTGAAG